TGGCCGGCCGGCTGTTGTGTTCCAGCAGCACTGCCGCTGCACTGCCAATCGGTGAATAATGGGGCTGGGGGGTGGGCTCTATGGGGCGCCCCCCGTCCCCAGGTCATCGCATGCACGCCATGCTCGGGTCTCCCTGGCTTGCACATCTGCAGGCTCAATTGCATCCGGCGAGGGTCTGCTGGCCGCGTCGCATAGCAGGTCGGCTGGGGCCAGACCTCTGGGGCCTATCCATCGCTCGGGAGGGCCGCGGGGGCCAGGCGGTCCGCTCGAAAGGTTGGTGGGCGATCCAGCATGTGCTGGATGCTGGCGTCACGAAAGTCGATGCAGGCCGCTTTGCACGGCCCACCGCCACATGCTCTCCCGCCGCCCGCGCCGCATGGCCAGACCCGCCGCCCGCTGCCCCCAGCCCCCTACAGCGCACCATGGGCGCCCCTTCCGGCAGCCGGGTGGCCTTTTTGGCCTACTTCCACCTGGGATGCGCCACCCTGTTCCCCTGGTCAGCCCTCATCACGGCGGCAGACTTTTGGGAGAGCCAGTTCCCGGTGAGGCGCAGCACGGCGCTCCCTCCATAGGATGCTACCCAGTGCTGGGCCCGCCCCACATCGCCGTCCCTGCACGCAAGCCTTGGGCAGCCTGTGGGGCCCGATGGCAGGTTGCTGGCTGCCAGGCCCTGCCTCAAACACAGCTCCCAGCCAGCGGCGCTCGGCACGCTCGCCTGGGCCCACCATCCCCACCCGACCCCACCCACCCACCGCCCGCGCTTGTGCACTCTCCTCCTGCTCCCGCAGGGCAAGCACATGGACCGCCTGCTCACGGTGGCCTACCTGCCAGCCAACCTGGCGGCGCTGGCGGTGCTCCTCCGCCACGGCAGCCGGCTGACCCCCCGCATGCGGGTGGTGGGCGGCTTCACTGGCTACACAGCCATCATGCTGGCGGTGCCGCTGCAGGTGCGGCTGTGTGGCTGCTGCTGCGTGCGGCTTGGCGTGGGAGACAGCGGGCTGGGGCAGCACCGTCTGCGCGCCTGCATGTGCCTCCCCACCCCGCCCACCGCGTGCCCTGCTTGCCCTCTATGCCTGCCCCAAGCCGTTCCCCACGCCAGCCCGCCGGCCAACCCCAGCCCACGCTTGCGCACATGCACTCTGTGCCCCACCTCGCCAGTCTCCCTGCCTGCCTGCCGTGCAGGCCAAGCTGCTGACCCCTAGCACCCCCGTCCTGGTCTGCCTGCTGGCCCTGGTGGCCTGCGCCGGCGTGTGCGACGGCGCCGTGCAGGGCGCGCTGGTGAGCACGCAGCCGCCCGCCGGGCCTCCACGCCTGCCACACCCGGCCGCGGCGCCCGCCTGCACCGGCCCGCCGCAGCAACACCTGCCCCTGGCAGCCGCGCGGCGCCCTCCCAGCCCCCCGCCCGCTGCACGAGGCCCCCGCTGCTCGTGCCCTGAGCTCCCTGCCTGCAACCCCTCCCTCCCTGCAACCCCTCCCTCCTTGCGTGTGGATTGCAGTACGGCGAGGCGGCCGGGTATCCCACCACCCTGTTCACCCGCGCCCTGACCAGCGGATCCAGCATGGCGGGAGTGGTGGTGGCCTTTTTGCGCCTGGCCACCAAGGCCACCCTGCCCGAGACGCCCGCCGGCCTGGCCGCCTCCGCCAGCCTCTACTTTTTGCTGGCCGCCGCCGTGACGGGCGGCGCGTCGGCCGTGTACGGCTGGGTGCTGCCCCGCCTGGCGGCGGTACGGCACTACCGCACCATCGCGCTGGAGGCGGCGCTGCTGGGCGGGGTGGGGCTGGAGGGCGGGGAGGGGGGCGGCGTGGGCGGCCGCGTGCCGCGCCTGGCGCCCGCCGC